GCATGCCCTGCGACCCTTGTGAGGATAATGCGGATCAGAAAATTGATGAATGGAATGGATAATATTTTGAGGATAATCTTCTAAAGAAGTGGTGAGTGCCAAAAACACAACACAAACTTATGTACATTGTCAGCAGTATCATCAGTACTCAAGGTTCTCATATCAGCCAGAGTACGGGCACTATATTTGTTTTATAATGTTTCACTTATAAAACTGAGCCAAACAAAATGTGAATTGAACCAAATTATTAAGGTCAGTTTTCAGATGCTTTATCATGAGTTGCATCTTTGAGAGAGTGACAATATTCTACACACCAACTCGGACTTATTTTTATCCTCTCTTGGGACAAGGATACAGCTAGCTTGGAAGATACTGTCAACAGTCCCAAGATGTAGATTGATCACAAATTACGTTTATTCACAACCCTTCAATAATACACACATCTGCCACACTTGCCAAACAAAAATTCTGTGGTGTGCAAGGAATCAAAAGCACCTCTATAAACACATATACCTACTCATATTCTCTCACGCATGAACATATCTGTCAAAGAGCACTAATGAAGATGAAGCAGCTAATTAAGGATGACTTTGAGGAGCGATGGGCAGCCGTGCTATTTGACATTATGGGGTCGACTTGGACGTATACGCAAGGGACTCCTCCCAATATAGGACACTGTGGTGGGGAAATACAGTATAATGCTACGAGGGTAACAATGTGTTTGTTCGGTATTGATAGAAATATGAGGACTAAAAATACCCTTGATATTAATAATTTCCCACGAGTTTTCCTACACACTCTCATCTGAGGCACATGAACTGCATGATTGGCCTAAAACTTGAGGGTGGGAGAGTCATGCAGATAAAAAAAAGAAAAAAAAAACAAATCCCTCTATTATATATATTTTACAGCAAAAGGGAGCTCCATCAAATTACACACACAATCCACAGTGATTTTTAGCACACATTTTAGTCTTCACATTACAGTAGTCTGTGTTTGTATTATTATTCGTAAACTCCAACAATCAAGTCATATGTACTGTATATGCATTCTCGATTGAGGTCTTGCTTCAGTGCTAATTTATAACAACCAAAAGTGTCACAATTGTGCTAAAAGGGTATATTTACCAGTGAGATTGTGATTTGCAATGTTATTGCTTCTTGTGGCTTGGTTTAGACCTCTTCAAATCAATGATGCAGTGCAATTCTTCATGGCTTCAGTTCAAGTGGAGGACGCCTCTTGCTGTTCTGCAATTTTTTTTCTCCAGTTGTCTTTTATTTAAGACTGCAATATTAAATGCATCACAACAAGGCCAATGAAATACGTAAAGAACAATTTTCAACCAATTTCATCCAATGATGTACAATCCCTGGCATAATTGTGTACAGTAATCGCTCGTTTTTCGCTGGGCTTCCATTCCAAAAAGAACCAGTGATAAATGAAACTGTAGTCACCTTTATTTTTTACATCTCTTATGTATACAATAAAATACTGTATAAACTTTTTCAGGGCCAAGCATTTAAAAAAAAAAAACAAACAAAGATATAAACGTTTTCTTACAAACAACTGAGAGTTTTTAGAAATACTGTACAGAACATTTTGTGGACATTTTGGGTTTTGTCACGGAGAAAATTTGGCAAGAAAATTTGGGAGACTATTGACATTATTATACAGTCCCTTAGCCAGTCAGGATGCAGAACACAATGCACTGTTAAAAAAAAAATGCACGGAAAAAAATCTGTGAAACAGCGAAGCTATGAAAGATGAAACGCGTTATAGCGAGGGATTACTGCACTCAAGAATAAAGAGATATTTAAGAATAGTTGTCCATTTAAATGGACCGTGTCGATGGCCTTCGCAATGGCACAGTTAGTGTGACAATATATTGTCTTTTGACCTTGATCATGTCATATCGTAGTCTTCTGCTTATGTCATAGGGACACTGGGTCAAAGACAAAGAACATACAGTATAATAAGAGGACGTGACGCCTGGGCAGCCAAGCACTGATGCAGCTTGGCAGATTTCACCCTCGGGTTCTCTTTGTATAACTGTACACAATGCAAGAACCACTGTATGCTTGTGACTTGTGATTTTCCTCAGATAATAACAAACACAATCTGCCAGTCTCATACAATACCTGCAAAAACATATCGCGTAAACAGAAGATATGTAGTGCCCTCATCAAATTTTACGTTTCTGCTTGCGAGCCTCACAGGCAAAGGATTTTGATCTTTAAATAACACTATGCTCACTATACCATAAAGCAAAAAACAGAATATAACAAATGGCACAGGGGTGCTGTATCTGTTTAGAAAAAAAGTTAATTCAAGCTAGCCCTTAATCACAACTGTCTTAGTGAGCTTTGCACGCCAACAGTTCTGGTCTCTTGGCCCCTAAAACTATTCGATTCTATCTGGATGACCAGGATGCAAAAGATGTTGAGTGGGCAACATTAATCACATGATTTGAGACGATACAATCAAAAATGAGTTCAAACAGCATAAGAAAATGAAGTGCTGCAAAATATTTCTGGGGAAAACGTTCTCCTCAGGACCTGTCCCCGTTGGTAGATGCGAAATCCTTCACAGTAACAGGCAGACCCGACACGGTCGGTAGAGGTGCAATCCTTCCCAGTGACAGGCAAATTTTGCTAATCACCACCAACAGGAGGTGGAGAAGGCGGGAGGAGAAGTGGCAGTGAAATAGGCCAAAATACAGATGTCAGGTTGTGAGGTATGGTGAGAGACTGGTTGGATACGAGCTGTGGTTTAAATATTTCAATAATATAAATATCGCAGGGCGGCCCGGTAGTCGAGTGGTTAGCACGTCGGCTTCACAGTGCAGATGTACCGCATTCAATTCCAGCTCTGGCCTTCATGTGTGGAGTTTGCATGTTCTCGCCGTGCTTGCGTGGGTTTTCTCCGGTCCTCCGGTTTCCTCCCGGATTCCAAAAACATGTATGGCAGGCTGATTAAACACTCAAAATTGTCCCTCGGTGTGAGTGTGAGCGCGAATGGTTGTTCGTTTCTGTGTGCCCTGCGATTGGCTGGCAACCGGTTCAGGGTGTCCCCCGCCTACTGCCCGAAGACGGTTGGGATAGGCTCCAACACCCCCTGCAACCCTAGTGAGGATAAAGGGGTTCGGAAAATGAATGAATGAATAAATATCGCAATATTCAACACCCATATCCATATCGCATATGCATGGTTTTCCACTCTCATGCAGCCTTATCTCTTCCCACTGTCATACTGCCGTCGCTGCCCTTTAAAGCAGTTTTCACTGAAACATCCTGCTCTTCAATGTATTTGCAAAATCTATCATGTTCGGATAAATATAGTGTGGAGTGGTGCTATTTCGGGAAGCTCCATGCCTGTGCTGAGGCCTGTTGCATGGCGAGGGAGGAGTGGATTGGAAGAGGGCTGCTTGTGAATACAGTGACCTACATGAATGAACTGGAATGATTGGCCTCACAGAGCTCTGCATGCCTCCATATGAGCGCTCCGGCAGGAGTGTGATGGCACTATGTGCATATGTCGTCTCCTTTTGTTCTGTGGGTCACGGGAGGGTTAGGAGTATTCACGGAATGTCAATTAACACTGTGTCCCATGTTCATTGGGATTTATGTGCATGAGAAGTAATAATTGGCCTTTATTTTGAGAATAAGCTGCTTTTCTTCAACTGCAAAATGCATTTTTGTTAGGTTGAGTTCTGACATATTTGATTTGTTAATTTTACATGGATTTTTTTTTTTTTGCTGTTCTGCCTAAATTAGATACTAGCTGGTGTTTTCACTTGAAGTGACACAGAATCACTTCATATGTTTTGGTTTTGAGGTTTTGTTTTTTCTTTGTGATTAATTTTATTTTTGTGTGAATTTTGATTTGCTGTTCGAGTCTTTCGTGTAATATGTTTTGTTTTGTTTTTTTTGCTTGCGATTGGTTTTCTTTTGTTTGTTTGTTATTCTGTTTGTGATTTTTGATTTGCTGTTGTATTTTGTGTTTTGTTTTTGCTATTACTTTTTTGTTTGTTTTAACCATTTTTTGGTGATTTTTGATCTGCTATTCTTTCATTTTTTGTATTTTTTTTTGTGTTTTTAAATTGTGTGTGTGATGACCTTTTTTGAGTTTGTTTAGTTATTTGTTTTTGTTATGTTTGATTTGCTGTTGTGTTAAGTCTTTTGGTTTGTTGCAATTTTGTGTGTTTTTGTTTGTTTGTTTGTTTGTTTTGCTGTTGTTTTGTTTTTCCATTTTTGATTTGTGTTTGCAATTACCGGTTTGTTTGTTTTATTATTTGTTTTTGTGATTTGCACCTCAGGGCCACCGTAGAATACGGAACCTGACAACATATTATAACAATAGCCATTATTTCCATATGTCTGAACTTTAAGTGGAGAATGCTGAAATAAACATGCATAACAAAAAATAAAAAACACTGCACAAGTTGTTTGGAAATGCAAGCTGATTGGTGTTATTTCCGGCTGCGTGATCTGCGGACGCACAGACCGCAACGGATTCAATCATAAGCACATGCATGCACTCGAAAGTGATGAGACCTGTCCTTAACAGTTAGTGTATTTAGGACATTGGTCAAGTCATTAGTAAATGGCAGATTTAAGTTGTCATTACAATGAATATTATAGATTGTATAAATACCTGCAGTTTCGATACGTTGTGCATCAAGAAATAATTTATATTTGATGTCTTTTTTTTCTCAGGCTGATCCATCATTATTTGAGTGCATGCATAGTCTGAGGTTCTTTTTACAGAATATGCACAAATTCAACAGGATTAAAAAGTGCGTACACATGTTTGGCGCACAACTTGGTTCGCACACACGGTTAGTGACTGAAGTCCAGTGTCTTTTATCGTCGTCGTTCTTTTCGTTGCTGTTGATTGTTGAGGCGGCATATTATTCATCAAACAGCAAAAGTCTTTTTGTCTCACTGCAATCATCGACACTCATCTCTTCCTCTTTTTCTATCTCATTCTGACTCTCTCAGCATACCACATTCCAGCCTCCACGCTACTCGATGACCCTAGGTGGGAGAGTCGTCACCTTCTACAAGACTTCTACGACAACCAGTCTAAGCTCTTCTCAGAGCTTGACAAAAACTGCACCGAACCAGGTAAGCCTTGTGGGGATACTTGTGGGTACTAAAATGTTACTTTGACTGTGCTGCTCAGCTCTTGATTTTCCGTTTCACTTCCAAGGCCAAACATTGAACTTTTTGGTGGAGTTTTTCTTTTTGCTATCGAGGGTGATTTTCACCAAAGTATCCTTTAATTGTTTGGTTAAGTGTGCCCACAGTAGTGGGCATTTACTGGTGTTCAGACTACTCCAAAGTTAGCAACGAAGTTTTGTAGCGCTGTTTCACTTCACTTTTTGAGCAACCATCTTACTGTTTACATTGCTTGCATCTGCCACTAACCAATACAATAGAGATATTGTCGCTAGTTGTCAAACATTTTTGTTCTCTTGAAATTTTTACTTTCTGAATATGAGTACAAACCTTAATTGGTTCTCAGTCATAATTCCTTCACATCCAAATTTTCCTACATTTCAATTCCTGCAGTCATGATGGCTCAGTATTAAGGGTTGCTTGAAACAGTGTATGGAAAATCATATATTTGCATGTCATACTAATCTGTGATTTACTTACTGGAAGACACGCTTGATTGCACTGGCTGAGTAACTACCGTATTTTCTCCATATAAGGCGAACCTAAAAGCATGACATTTTCTCAAAAGCTGACAGTGCGCCTTTTAATCCGATGCGCCTTATATATGGATCCATATTCTGATTTCTTGGACATAGTATTTTAAATGTTCTGGAAAGCACTTTGTTACAGCTGCAGCGGTTGTGAAAGCGCGATATAAATAAAGTTGTATTGTATTGTATTGTATTCCCTTTAGCATAGCTCCATCTAGTGGATGCATAACTGAACCGCCACCACTACTGTAGCTTCTATTCTATGTGCCTTATAATGCGATGCGCCCTATTTATGAAAACAGTTTTAAAATAGGCCATTCATCGAAGGTGTGCCTTATACTCCGAAGCACCTTATAGAGCAGAAAATACGGTAATTGAAATAAATTGTCTTTGTTTATCCAAATGGCCCTCATTTTGTCAGGCAGTACCATGTGCGTTCAGGCATGTTCATCTCTTGGTCATGAAATGGTATTAATTATAGATATATTTATTATTCAATTGTCGTGAACCTGCTGTCATAAACTGTATATTTCAAGTGATTCAAATGGTAAAGTACAAATCTCGGCCTACAAACAGCTGTCTAATGACTCTTTCAACACTTTACATCCTTTTTATTTCTTCTGTATGTTCTGCTGCTTTGAGCACTTTGGCCAACTGAGTTGTGAAAATGCTCTTTAGTAAAGTTAGATCGGAATGGCTCGGGGGCTCTGAAAAGACAGAAGCACTACCGGTACTTGGAAAAGTGTGGTCATTCTTAGCTAATGACTGGCCTCAGTTTCGCTATTATGTGCAACAAAAATACAGTCCCCACAGTATTTGAATGTTAAGTACCGACACCAAATATGAAAGATTCTATACACGTAGCGAAAACCAAAAGGCAAACAGAGAGAAAAGGAAAGATGACCAAAATCAAAAAAGTGTTTCAAGGCACATGCCAAAAACAAACCCACTCTTCCTTCTTCAATAAATGTATATCTATATAGCATAAAACGTAAACAGAATTTGGGGGCTGGAAAGCATGGACAAATTTTTACAAAAGTTTCGAGCTACAAACGGGGTCACGCAACCAATTAAGTTCGTAAGTTGAGGTACCATTATAAAGTTGTGAACACTCTATGTTGTATTTTCTCTGACTGCGCAGCATTGTGTTGTCCCCCTGGCACGTAGAGTGCGAGTGTTTTCCATGTGGGATCCTGGGGCTGAAAAAGGCTGATCTCCTGCCAAGCATTCTCTTGATCTCATTGTAAACACACCACACATGGATTGCACACTCAAGCACACTCCATTTTTCAGTTTCAAGATAGATACGTTGGCGGATGTAATCTGACTGGATTCAATGCATTATGTTTAGGACATAGTCTATAGATTGTTACTGTTTAACTAATTCTGGAAACACTAATTACCTTAATGGGGATTATTCTTGATTTGCTGCACTAAAAACAGCTTTTTCAAAGTGCTCCTTTGCCCTCGTCTCTGTCTCTCTCTTTGTGTCTGTTACTCCTTTTAATCCGTTTGCATCATGTTCCTGAAGCACTTTGTTTTTTTAATTTCTCTTTCTTTCTCTATTTTTTCTTTCACTCTCGTCATTGCAGAGTGACTCACCGGTTCAATTTGATGTCACAGACTGTATACTACCGTAATGCAGACTTATAGCCCATACCTGTGTGCGGGCTTTATACAGGGTAACAAGCAGCCATTAGTCTTTACCATAGCATTATTTTCTGCATGATTTAAACCTATTGTGTTGTTTATTCCACCATGTTCTAGAAAAATTGAGCAATTGTTCATATGTGACAGTTTTGACAGTGAATTTCTATTTGCTTGGGGAGCTTTCACCTAAATACATCACAGGAAAACAGCTGCATTTTTGGCACCTATTTTTTTTTTTTTACCTCTAAATGTAAAACAGTGATGCTCAGGTGCGTGACAGCAATGGCCCCAAAATAGCTCCCTTTGTCAAAATGTTTCTTTCTGTATACTTCGAGGTCAAAAAGCTTGCAACTCTCTGATCCAGCATTCATCCCCACCACATACTGTGACTGTGTGGCAGTGCAGCGGTGAGGGAGGAAATGCTGAGGACTTTTATGGTCTGCGTGAGTCACAGCTGTGGCTGGAGCTTTAATATTTTGTGAGCTGTCTGTCCATGTATCAATCCCGGTGAACAGAATAGTTGGTTTGCCTGGAGGAAATGTCCACTTCGACTTGCGGATGAACAGAGCTTTTATGGGCCCAAAAAAAATAAAAAGACAGGTTTGCAATCCCATGTGTTACTAATGTGGTCTTGTAATATTTAGCCATTGCAAGATTAGTGGCAGTTAGGTTTCAAATTTGTGATAGTGTTGGGATTCGAACAAACTTTTTATTTTTTTTATAAACGGGAACACTTTGAACCACTAATTTTTCTCCATGATGTCTTAATTTGTCACAGCTGAGGCATACAGATCTGGAAAATCACTGATTGGATTTGAATTTCTCCAGAACCATCCAAACATGCTCATAAAGGAATTAAGTATGTGAAAAATAATGAGCATTTTCATGAGCAATAATGTGACACGATTTTGAGGTGCTTCAATTTCAAAAGCTAGTAGTTGTAAGAAAGCATCCATCCATTCATCCATTTTCTGATCCGCCTTATCCTCACAAGTGTCGCGGGGCGTGTGGGAGCCTATCCCAGCCGTCTTCGGGCAGTAGGCGGGGGACACCCTGAATTGGTTGCCAGCCAATCGCAGGGCACGCAGAGACGAACAACCATCCACGCTCACACCCACACCTAGGGACAATTTTGAGTGTTCAATCAGCCTGCCATGTGTGTTTTTGGAATGTGAGAGGAAACAGGAGTACCGGGAGAAAACCCACGCAGGCCCGGGAAGAACATGCAAACTCCACACAGGGAGGCCGGAGCTGGAATTGAACTCGGTACCTCTGCCGTGTGAGGTCGACACGATAACCATTGGACCACCGGGCCGCCCTAACTTAAACATTTTATTCCGAATTTTTAATGCTGACCACATCTAAACGCAGATCTTAAGTACTTCAACCCTACATATTAACTGCATGTGTTAGCACGATGTTTTGTTAATTATTATTATCATTATTATTTTGTCATTATGCTTGGTTGTCCCAAAGCCCAAAATTTGGAGGTCTCATTGCTGGGGCTGGTTAACCTTAATAGGATCGCCGCTAAAGTGCAACCTGTTCCAGCTGACTTTGGATGAAGGGTTACACCCTGAATTGGTCACCAGCCAAAAGCAGGGCATATCCAGACAAAAAAACATTCACCGCTCATTGTTTTAAAAAAAAAAAAAAAATCTGAAACAACCAAAAATTCTTCCAAAAATATTGCTCAACATTCATGTGTTTTACATGTAAAACAGGGGAAATCGGAGTAAATAAAGGCCCGAAATAACTAAAAAATTCAAAATATGAACAAATACTCGGGGGGGGCCGGGGGTCAGTCTGGAACAGAAAAAGGGTGACCGCAAGAGTACGGAAATGTAAAAATGGATTGTTTTCCAGAAACCCACACAAAATGAAGCCGCCTCTTGACAGATGAGACTGACAGCAGACGTTTCTTTGCGCTGAAAGAAACAAAAACAAAACCATCGTTTGTCCACTTTGGGTTAAATACCCTGCAATTCTATTTTTCTCTTACCGAACCTTTTCGCCATGATCCCGTTCTCTGAGAGAGGGGCCGGTTTCGGATTTTTTTTTTGCTGGCGTTGCCAGATAACGGCACAGAAAGATGCACCAAATGTCACCTTATTGTATCTGTGTTTTATGAAATAGTTACTAATTAATAGTTAAAAATGAAAACGGTTCGGAACTAAGGAACATTTTATTGCAAAAGCCCAACTTTATGATCAAAGACAAATCCACATCGATGAAAAATAAATCAAAATACTCTG